TCATTAACAAACCCTTAATATACTTTGGGCAGATGAAAACCTTGACGTGCACTGCCACACCCACACCCCACCCCCAAAAAAAAATTGCATACATTTTATATTTCTCTCTATAATTCTCCTAACTAGCTTTTCTTTTCTTGGCGACTGACTTGGTGGCAGGCAGGCACAAATAATAATAATCCTTGCATTCGATATTCACGCCTTGTCACATCATTGAGATGTCTCAAAGCTCTTCACCCTCTAGCCCTAGCTCGAGGTCAGACTCCACAACTGTTGAGCGCTCTGGGGACACTACCCGGCGTGAAGGGTGCTATATATAAATGCAAGTTGTTTTTGTTGTAAAGTGGATTGACTGTCTATTTTGCGGGCAAATAGATCTTGTTGCATTGTATCCAAGCATAAATGGTGCACTTACTGGTTATCTGAACATGAAGAACATCACAGCTAAGCCCGACATCACATACACGTACATAGCAGGGAACATATGGAAGAGATCAGGTGCAGGAACCCTAAGCAATTTGCTTTCCTCCTCCGAATGCCTAATTCTTTTGTGTGGGCACACCAAAGACCAACACAAGGACTTTCTCATCTTCATAATGCAGCAACAACCATATGCAAGAAATAACACATGTGCTGTGCATGTATTCTGTAACACAATTTTCAGAACTGAAACTTTTACATTGATTCATCGTCAACATTAAAGATGATGCTACTAACATACTTTCAACATTAACGTTTTCATTACTAACCACTGGCACAGAGAAAGTGCAGTCCAATTTCATTGACAGTAAGGTATGATGTTAAGTAATACTGCATACAGCATATTGACTCAAGCTACTAACACAATGCAAGAAAAATTACATCAAGTACCTCAATAAATTATTCACACCCAGTCTTGTTAATTGTTGTCTGTATGATTTTCCATACATTTCCCTATCTTCGAAATCTGTCAGCTACAAATTCCACTCACTATAAGTTCTAATTACGACACATTAGACCACCCATTGGTGCAATGTTCATCAGAACGGTTCGAGTGTAAGGTAAACACAAGCTAATAGTTTTGATAATAAAATGGAAACAACCATAAAGTTGTGTAGCTCAACAGAACAAAGGCATAATTGAAGGTTTTTCGCAGAACTGATATAAAAGGTCCAAATATTATTTCTAGGTTTTCAGAACATTCTAATGCAATTACTTTTCCTTTGTCTCCTCCTCCTCCGCCCCTGCCTCCTCTCTCTCTCGCTTTCCTGAAGGCACCAAATTGTGCCGGGGCAGCAATCCACCAATGCTGGTCGTCCTCTTGCTGACCTTGTGAAAATGATCACATTCTTAGTGTATGAGCATGGGAAGTCGACTCAATTGTGGAACATCAATTCAATCAGCCAAGCCTGCTATTGATAACATTTACATATGCAGAGGTCAGTGGATAGTGATCAATGAGTGAGATGTTAAAGATCCAATAGCACTATTCAAAAAATGAAGTGAGTTTCTCACAATGTCCTGGAGGATGTTCTTCAGAATGTCCTTGAAGTGCAAGCGATGTCTGCCTGATTGCCTGGTTTCAACTGGCAATAGATCACACACTTTCCTAGAAAGTCACAGCACGAATAGTATTATTCTGAATAGTCCTTTTGCTTGTGGTCTAACAGGCATGGTTATGTAGCCAGTTGCCTATCAAGGTTCTGCTCAAGAAAATCCAGATTATGAATTTGCAAAGAAACAGGGACCAAGGGCACTGCAGAAAACGATTGTTTTTTTAAAAAAATCAGCCCAGAGTAGGATTGTTTGAAATGGTGAGAAGTGAAACAGATTTGTAAAACAGAGTAAAAGGAAAAATTTGGACTGAAAGAGAGTTGGATTGGGGGGAGGGGTGGGGTGGGGCATAATAATGCTACTAATAATCCTTACATTTGATATAACGTTTTATCAGATCATTGAGAATGTCTCAAAGTGCTTCACATGATATACTGTAAAGTATTTTGTGGGAATAAAGGCAGACTTCATGCAAAAGGTTGTGAAGTCCAACAAGAAGAATTGAAATAAGCACAATTGTTGCACTGTTGATGGTGTACCATTCACTTAAAATCTATCTTAACGGGCAATGGTGAGCAAAAGATCAGTGCAGGAAAAGAAGGGCCCGAATTAACACAAGACCGACTTTATTGCATGTCTCATACAATACTTGAGTATCAGGAAGTCTGAATTTCCCATTTGTGGGTAAGTGGTATAACATGGAAAGGAAATCCTAGTTGTAAAGATTCCTAGATTATCCCCATATAGCCTTCTAATGTATCTTCTAGAATCTGAATCAAAAAAATCACATGCATTCATGGAGTTTTTGAGCACTCAACCATAAAGCCACAGAGAATTTATGACATTTTTTGTGTGGTTGCCTGTGTGGTCATTAAGTACGTAAGANTTTTTTTCTCCATAAAGAACATTTCATTTCTACCAGGGAAGTATAAAAAATTCCAGGACAAGAAACCATTCAGCCTCTCTATGGTAACATACATCCCACCAAGACTGCTCTTTCTGAAGACTTTTACCATAACCAATGCATCTGTTGATTTTAATCTATTCTTTGTCCGTTCAAGAGTGTAAGGATCAATGCAATGGAAGGAATCACAACTGCACATAAAAGATACCACAGCTATCTCAGATTCCAGTTCAAATTGCACGGCTCTGGACAGAAATCTCACAACAAAACCAGGGAGGCAGAATTTTCTACATCATCTCAACTGGCAATTATGTGCCTGCTTTCAGTGATCTGCAGCTATGGTAGAAATTCCAAGATCTGATGCATTGTTTGTGAATTTGAAGTGCAGTTCTCTTTAGAATTCCATTAGACATTTTTTTTAGAACCAAGCTTTTTTTTCAGCCTTGAAGCGCTTGTGCTACATATCTGAAAGCAGCATATCCAGTTGATTCTAAACAAATTCCATCCATGAAGTGTTATGTTATGGAAGGCATCATTCACAGGCTGATGAGCTGAAGCTCTGTTTCAATATAGAGGCAATTTCCAACGTGAAGTGATACTTCGCAAGATCTGCCATTGTTGGATAAAACTATAAGTATATTGGAACTGGAAGAGGGTAACTCTCTGTAAGGAGAAACTTGCAGCGGGGGGAGAGAGGAGTGTGGGGGGAGGGGACTTTCTGCCTACTAAAGAGTAACCTTAACAAGGTGCTCCCTGACAAAAGTCCCTGCGCTTCTCTCATTGATTGCTGCTCACAAAATCTTGGATGGCCATGATCTGCATGAACATGAGAAATATAGAATTCTTCAGCAATAAGAACATTGAAGGTTCACTGAATAAATACTCCTCTGTCCAGGAATGAACCACAATCTCATTCATCACACACGTGGAACCAAACATTCAGTTTGATGAGTAGCTATAGTCTCTCTACTCATTTGATCAATAAAACTTTTTTTTTTGAATGGTGTTATTCTAACAAGTTGAAAGTTCCCATAAACAAGGTCAATTGCAACGTACTTGTGTATTAAGATTTCTCAATTTGTCACTTGCTTCGATTCCCTATAAAAAAGGTTTCCAACTCATTGTTCACAGAATAATATAAAATACTCCAAAATGTGTGTTCCACCATTATCCTGCAGACTTAATATTATAAATTATATAGGACATTAAAAAAACCCATTTGCTGGTATATTATTTATCGCACAATGACTCTAACTGCAGTACAACACAAAAATTCACAAGGAAATTCTTTGTTGATTGGAGTATTAATTATTAATTGATTCATAGCAAACCCATTCTACATTTCTGAATTAGTTCTTCTGAACTCTGGTTTCAACATTGTCCAACAAATTGGCACTGTAAATTAGATCCTCTGGTGATATAGCAAAAATGCAACACTTATTGCAGTACTTCCCATGGAAAGGAAAAGTTAAGAATCAACACAATTCGATTGGCAAAATCAAAACATCTATTTAGCATATTCTTCACTCAAAAGTTTTAAATGGTTGGTAAATTTTTTTTCAGTGAAACAGCTTTTCTTCCTAAAATCCAATCAAATCCCAAGTGTGACTTATTCTATATAAGTTTGAAGTTCTGAAATTATTTTGCGCTGCATTTTATTATCCGATGAAAAGATTATTTAATAAAAAAATACTTTAATACTGTATTACAAGGTACTGTATACATTGCAAGTGCAAGTGTTATTTAAAAAAAATCAACTGCAAACCCTTTAAACCATGTTCTTTAGACATTTTTTCTCTGTCCTTCGAGAAATCAGCAATTCCAGATTACGCAAATTCTATTCAGCGACAGCATCATTATTAGTAACCATTCAATGCTGACATGGATCACCAGATTGTCATAAAATGTGATTCAAGACTCCGAACAACTGCACATGAATGAACTAAAATGATTTTTCAACCACTCCTTATCCAAGTGCCCAGCAGAAGCTAGGCTCTTTAGGCTAGGCTATCATGGTTGGGTCCTGAATAAGCATAATCAACATGTACCCGTACTCTGATATATACTTTTTACGAATATTCAATTGTATGGTTAAATCGTTCTGTTAAAAGTAAATTCACAGCATTGAGAATGTTATCCTTAAACAGACTTGTATTTAATCGTCCTCTGCAATGCATCTGAGACTGAATGGGAAATGAATCCAACAGAACAATGGGTTAAAATATTTCAAGTGCATCTCTCTGCTGCAATCCACCTCCACGGCATCTCCACTGGTTTCAAAAAGCCAGACCAGTACGCAATAATCCAAGGATTCATTAATGTTTGACCAGCCTGTGTGACTTGTTGATGATACCTGGGAGTGTATACATGTCCTCAACACAGGGAGCCAAACCCTAATGGGTGGGGCTTTGCCAGCATTATTTTATTTGTTATTATTTTGTTTTGGGTATTTGATGTAAACAGACTGCTTTTCACTACATTCAAAAATCATTATGTGTCAATACTTCATGCTGAAGCAATGCAAATTGCAGATTTAATTCATTCTGGCCTATGGTATACTTACAATGAAGGATCTTGGACCAAATCCTTGAGGTTTATCCCACTTCTATCTTCTGCAAGGTTTCTAAAGCAACTGTCGCTCACTGTAACACACAAAAAAAATCTTAATTAAAGGTAATTTTAAAGCATTTGGACACAATATTTGGGAACATAATATTTTGTTCAATCATCTGGTTAATAGTGCATTCCCATTAAGAGTAATTATATAAAATAGCAAGTTTCATCATTTAAAATGCCTTAAAGTTTTAATTGAGTGCACATTTCCATCACTAATACATGTTATTGCATCTCAGTGAGATTTGCATTGTGTGGATAGTTTTTAGAATATATTTGTATAAAACGTTTTCAAAGAGGTGGTGTTCTTTAAGTGTTGGGCTGAGAGGATTAGACATGAGTAGAGATACAAAATCATTAACCTGGAGTGAACACATTGTATGATTTCAGTAGTGTACACATTAATTCTACTTGTTTGCTCATTCACATGTTGCAACTGTTTTAACAACATGAAGTAACAGTTTAACTTTTCAAAGAGTTACTGACTGTGAAACGTAATACAAGTTTTCTGCATTGAAAACAACCTTGAGATTTTATATGCAACGGGGTCCAATTTACAAGATTCACAAACAATTCAATGTGTTAATAATTCCAACTTCCCGTTTGCCAATATCACAAGTCATTTAATATGTGAGATTTGCAAACAAGCAAACTTGGGCAATCTATAAGGTGGGGGGGAGAGATACCATTTTAAGATCATAAGACCATAAGACATAGGAGCAGGAGTAGGCCATTTGGCCCCTCGAGCCTGCCCCGGCATTTAATAAGATCTTCTAACCTAATTCCATTTACCCACCCTATCCCCATATTCCTTAATCCTCTATCCTTTAGAAATCTATCAACCTCAATCTTCAATATGTTCAAGGACTGAACATCCACAGAACTTCTGGGGCAGAGAATTCCACAAATTCATTACCCTCTAAGTGAAGAAATGCTTCCTCAACTCAGTTCAAAAAGGCTGACCCTTAATCTTGAGACTATGATCCCTAGTTTTAGATTCTCCAACCAGGGGAAACAGTCTCAAGGCATCTACCCTGTCAAGATTCTTAAGAATCTTATAGGTTTCTATAAGATCACTTCTAATTCTTCTATATTCTAGAGAATATAGGGCTAGTTTACTCAACCTATCCTCATAGGTTAACCCCCTCATCCCAGGAACCAACCTAGTGAACCTACGCTGTACCCCCTCTAAGGCAAGTATGTCCTTTCTTAAATAAGGAGACCAAAACTGCACACAATATTCTAGGTGTGGTCTCACCTATTTATGATTTATGCAACTGCAGCAAGACTTCTCTACTCTTGTACTCTAACCCTTTTGCAATGAACGCCAACATGGCATTAGCCTTCCTAGTTCCTTACTGTACCTGCATACTAACTTTTTGTGACTGGTGTACAAGGACACCCAAATCCCTCTGAACACTAACACTACCTAGTCTCTCCCCCTGTTTGTCTGTTCTTATTCTTTTTAAAAAGTCATTGCTCCTTTTAGGATTCACAATGCGTTAAATCAAAATCAGAAGTTTCAAATAATGTATCAAGTCCATTTTCTTAATATGCCAAATTAAACCACTGTTCTGTACAATAAGAAACGCATCAATGAAGGACTAAAGATTTCACTATGTTCAAAAAACATTTTTAGGTACAAAATAAGTATAAAAGAGCAAAATAAAAACACTTAATATGGTTTAACAAGCAAAACAGAATGTTGGGATGCAAAATCGCAACAGTTCAAGGCAAGTCTCAAGCGATTCTGTTAGGTTCTACAGGGTACTTGGGATATTATGTTTAGTTCTGGTCAGCACAACTGAAAAATGTACTGTGCAAGCTTTGGAAAGGATAGAGAGGCAACTGTAATAAGACTAATTTCTTGTGCTACAAGGAAAGACCAGAAACCAGAAAAACTATCTAGAAAAAATTGATGAAAAGAGAGAACCTCAAAGATGCATACAAATTATTAATATTGCAAATAAATATTACTTCAGATTAAAAATCAAGAAATCAGCACAAGATATAAATCTTAAATATAAAGAATTATTTTTTAAAAATATAAACTGAGTTGAACGCTACAGCAAAATCAGAAACTAGGTACATGTTTAGCTGAGGCAGTAATTCGGTAAATTTTGGATCTCATCCTGACTTTTCTTATGTTGTGAAAGAAGCATTGCCACAATTGCTGTCAAGGTCCACATCTATCCCCTCACCTCTATCCCCCCAAAACACAAGTCATACATGTAAAAGGGTTAAAATGTTATTACCATTTGGTCCTTCAGTGTGGAAGGCACATTTTAGTTTGGGAACAGACTCCTTGAACTCGGTAAGCAGCTGGGTGCATCTTGTGCCTCTTTGCAAGTGCTCCCGAAGCCCACAAGCATCAGAAAGTTAATCCTTTCTTATCTGTTCAACCTGCAAAAGCATGATGTTGGCCAATTGCCCATAGAAATAACTTTTGGTCACTGCCTCTATATAGAAAAATCATCCTTTGAGCAGTGAGGTGATCTTCCCCTGTTCTATTGTATGACAAGCCCTCCCCTAAGCCATATTCTCTTTCTTTAAATGGAGGTAGCAGTAAGACCTTGAAATCAACAGAGCATTGAAACAATAACACAAACAAAATATAGCTCCAAGCCATGTCAGATACAGAAATGAGAAGTAGGCTGGGAGAGTTTTGTACGTGGAGGCTAAAAATCAATGCATAAAACTGATTGTTCCTCTGTGGACCGCAGTCAATGTTCTACTGTATGTGTGGGTTGAACTTCAATGAAGGCAAGTAATGTATCATATCCTGAAGGTGTTACTTATCCTTCTACAATAATTATAACAAAATTGAAGTCTCCGGCTATATCACTGTTGTGTGCAGGAACAAAATGCCCTTGAACAATACACAGGTATTGTTAGCTGGCACCATATACTATATTTAACAAGATACTATATGTTTGCCTGTATGTACTCACAAAGTTTGCAGTAGTTTAATTATTTTGTGATTTTCCAAAAACATGTACATGTTCTAAAAGTTTTATTTATTTGTTTTAAAAAAAACTGGACTGCATCACAAACTTTGTATGGAAAGAATTCACCATCATTTCAAAGAAGCATTCTCTGGGTCCCTTGTTAAATTAAAGATAGCTGTCTGTAACATGCTGAAGGCTAGCTTTTAATATACAGAAGTCGCACCAGTCCACTGCGATATTAGATTAATGAGATATTCAGCAGAATATTAATTTCATAGTTGCAGGTAGACAGACAACTGGACACCAGGCTCGTCAGCATACTGTGCATTTACGTCCATTCTTAACCTTGCTTTTTAAACTTAGCATTTTCTTCTCCGCATGACTGGCAGCCCAGAGGAACAGTCTTAATTTTTAACCAATCCATCTCTATAATCTTGTAAAACGCAAAATGCTGCAGATGCTGGAAATCTGAAACAAGAACAGAGATTGCTAGCAACACTCAGCAGGTCAGGAGCATCAATGGCAAAAGGAAAGTGCGTCAACATTTCGGGTCCATGACCCTTCATCAGAATTGGGGGATGTTGGGAGGGAGAGGTTTTAAGGACTTAACAGAGAGGGGAGGCGGGGCAAGAAAGACAAAGGAACAAATGGGGTGGAGAACAGGGGAGATGGTTTAAAGAGGTGTTAATGATACAAAAAAAATGCTCCTTCCCAACATCCCCCAGTTCTGACGATCTCTGTTCTATATTCCTGTAATTTATTAATGTTAATTCTGTATTTGGAGAATTATCTTACTCCAAAACGACAGTAGTTTTTTCCCTCTTGAATGGACTCACGCGGAGTATAAACACCACCGCAGACTGGTTGGGCTGAGTGGCCTATTTTCGTGCTGTACAGTCTTTGAATTGGTATCATGCGAATTACCACTTGACTCACAAAACACTCAGGCACTCACTCCAATTTACAGTATATCCCAAGTGGCAGAACTTATTTTTAAGAAAGTATGTAATGTCAGTTAGACAGGAGTCATTTTTAAAAGGCATTGAAAGATTTTTGAAAAAAATACAAAAAAAATCAGGAACAGAGTAGATTTTAAAACCACTTGCAACTGATAAAACTTTCACAATTGTTTGATAGGTTGAAAAATCATGAGGTGTGTACAGCTGTGTCAATAATGGACAAAGAAACTTTATAGATTTTATGAAAAATTTTATCTGAAAAACTGAAAGCCAGAAAATGTGGAGTGAAAAGCAAGCCGTCAAGATTTGAAATATTTCATCATAAAACTACAAATGCGCTTTCTGGGAATTCAGCAAAGCCTGAATGTTAGCAGGAAGAATTTTTCTCATTACAGACAGCAATGTGCCAGTGGAAAAGCTTTTGAATATGCTGATGGAATAACAGTACAGAAGAGGCATTAATAGCCTGTAGCGTAGAGATGATTTACAAGTTGTGTTGGGAAGGTGGGATGTGGGGGAAAGACAAGAGGAACAGATTTCTTAAAATTAATGGAGAAGAATGCAATACTGTCATACAACAGTATTGACCAAAAAGGAAATGAAGAAACAAAGTTGAATTATGACAGATTGGAAAACGTTACTAAATTTATGTTCCAAGAAACCAATATAAATGACAAGTGATGCAACAAAGAAGACAGAGAAAAGATTCTGTGCCCTAGTAAGATTTAATGGAACAATGACTGCGGTCCAAAAACATAGGAACAGAAAAGAAATTTTATTTTCATCATAACTGAGTCTTCAATGAATCATCAGAAATTGTCCAGGGACCCAAACGTTTTTTTAAAAAAAGTGGGAAGCCTGCTAGTTAACACCGAAAGTCGAGTGTACTAAGCATTCAGTATTGCTCAAGTCAACTGTGGTCCTGTGCTTAAAATGAACCAGAGCTCAAATGGTGTGTTCTGTTTAAAATATATTCTCCAGTTCTACTTCCAGCCTCTAGCTGTATCGCATAATCTTTCATCAAAAAGCCTGTTCATTTCTACATCATTTGTAGTTTCTCATTACTTTCATGACCTAAAAAACAATCACAAGAAAAACAACATGCTGTAGCCTTTCAATTGA